CAAAAGATGCAAATTAATATGTCTAAATTAGAAGTCTGCAAATCCCGGTCCGGCCCGTTTTTTAAAAATAATTTCATCTTGGGCTGAATCTGGCCTAATGTATTTTTTAAATAAATGGGGCCGGGTTGGATCAGTCCTAAATTTAATATGGTATTCAATTTTGTGAAATAAATTAAGATATTTTAAAATTATTTAAAGAAAATATTTTTATTTATAGAATATTAATTTTGCAAGAAAATATTTTTATCTGTAGAATATTATTTTCACAATAAAAATATTAATTTTTTCTAGATTTAAATAAATTTCGGCAGGTATGCAAATAATATTTATTTCGGATGAGGCTATTCGGGATAAAGAAATTTTTTTCGTTAGGGTTCGGGTGCTAAACAATTTTATTAATAAAAATTTTGGGCCAAGCTTGAAAAATTAGGCCCGGTGTAAGTTTAAATATAATTATGGCTCCTTTTGGGGAACTAACCTAAAATATTGTTGGCTGATATTTTAATCGTTTATAAGGTTTTATATTATTGTATGTTTGATTTATATATGTTTTTAAAGTAGATATTATAATTTTATATAGTTTTTATAGTGTTATATGTTACAAGATATTTTCATATAAAATTTTTATAATCTTCATCATTTAAACATAATAATACCAAACATCAGTGAATATTATATTGTTAAATGAAGCAGACTGGAAAGAAATATAAACGAATATATGAATAGGCCATTATAAATATTATAATTGGGCAGACTTTTTACCAAAAATGGACATATATTTTTTTTATTTTTCGGAATGTTCCAAATTTAGTTTTAGAATTACCTCCATTTCTCTTAGCGTTTCTAATTTCCCTAAGTTCTAGAATGCCTGGAACGTTCTATTATACATATATAAACATATATATTTTAAATGATATAATATTTTCCTTTAAGTTGCATTTACTTAATGCATTAAGTGGATCATATAAACATTATCTTTTGAAAAAAATAAGGTAACTATTCGATTTGATTAACTGTAAATAGTCACATTTCAAATTTTTTCTTGAAAAAGATATATTTTTACACTATATCTTTCGTGTATTCTCTGCATTAATTTAGATGTTTTTCTTTTTCCCATCTTTATATATTAAAATGAATATTCAATATTATTTTATATTTTGACATGCCAACCTTAATGCTGTATGGAAATTATACGATTCAATTTTAGGCATCTTGTCCATAATTATGTTACATAATCATCTTATTTTTTTACATGTTAAAGTAAATATCAATTCATAGGCGTAGCCAGGATTTTCCTAAGGGGGGGGGGGGGTTAAAAATTACTGCCCCCCCCCAGATCTCCTTTTAAGCGGGCCTTCGACCCGTTTATCTTCTGCCTTCGGCCGGGTTACCTTAGTCTATATATAGTCATAAAATATTTTTACAAGATAAGAGGTTAATTTTAATATAAAAATAAGCCTGGAACAAATATGAAATATATTTTTATTAGTTATATAAAATATAATAAATTACTTGTATACATATTAATATAAAAGCATGGTAATAATTTATTCCAAACAAGTATATGAAATTTATTTAGAAAAAGTAAGTAGGCATATAGTTGATATTCCTCTATTATATAGAATTAGTTACAAAATACTTGGCAAAATTCAACTTTTACTGACATATTTGACAGTTAGAGAATATATTACAGTTAATATTTTAACAAATTTTACTAATCAATGCTCTTGATAATAACGATAGCAACAATTTGCATTCAATTATTTAACGCCAACTATTTATTTTAAATAAAATATTAAAAATTAATCTTTATATTATTTATCCCACAATGTCTTTAAAAGATATTTTATGATGTCATTATCAATATTTTATAGTTTTCTGTAAAATACCTAATTCGCTATATTGGTAAAAATTACTTGATTGTCATATGATAATTGATAAAATTAGATATATTGTAAATCTACGACATATAATATTCCACTGTTTGTATTATCCTTTAATTTTTTTATTTAATTTATGATTTAATTTTATCAATAGTTTTATAATTATATTTTACTTTTATTAAGATAAATAAATTGAAATTACTCACTTTATAAAAATTTATATTTGATATATTATATTATTTAGTAATTTTATGGATCTATTATTAATAATTATAATACATTTTACTTTTGTCTTAAGACTTATCTTATATTACATTTCTTAAAAAGCATTTTTCGTTCACTTATTTTTATATATAAATGCTTTTTTCCAAAATTGTATAAATTATAATAAATATTTTTATAAAATAATAGTAACTTTTACATTCTTTCTTTCAAATTATTGTTTAAGTTATATGCATACATTTTTTGGGGTCAGGGAGTGAGGGTGGACTAAGTGGGATATTTTTTATTAGCTTAAAATAATATTCACAAAAAGTGATAAATTTCTGAAGGGGGGATCCCCCCCCCTGGCTACGCCTATGTATCAATTTATTTTTTACCGCAATATTTTTATCATTTGGGCAGGGTACAATGTTGATATGAAACTATTAATATTTGGGTAATTTAGATTATTTTTTAAATATAAATATATTATTAAATGTTTATCTTGCTTTATGGTAATAGTTATAGAAATGGTATATCATACGTTTATTAGTTAGTATAAAAAAATCGAAACCATTAGAAATTTTTGGAATATGTTATGGAGGAATAAACCAGGGATCCAACCCGAAACAAATATCGGTTTGGTTCAGGTTCAGATAAAAATAACGATTCAAGGTTCCGGTTCCGTTCGAAACTCTAAAAACCGGTTTGAACACTTTAATATTCAAACCTACATTCAAATTATGTATAAGGAAGAATTATTTTTATTTCATAATTTAAATAAAAAACACATACATAAAATCTTCATTTATATTTGCAGATTATAAAATAAAATAATATTTAATTTATATAAGAATAAATATCAATGAATAATTTTAATATGAACAATTACTTAAAAAATATTTTATTAAGCCGCACATTTAATATATTTTCAAAATTCATTTCACTCAAATTACATCTATAAGGAGTTAATATAAATTTAGTTGTCGAAAAACATCTTTTCACACTAACTTGGGTAGCCGGCACTGACTGTGTCATTTATAATACTATATGTAAATAATTTATATATTGGATTAAAATTTTCTCTAGGCATTATAATTTAAATGTTGTAAAATGGCAATATACTAAAGTTTATAAATAATTTTGACTGACACTTATCAATTAAATGTGATTGATAATACTTTTTAAAACAATTTGAATATAATTAAAAATATTTCCATATACTAGTAATTTTATAAGCATAAAATTATGAGAACCGGTTCATAGGCATTTTAGCAATTCGTTCAGGTTCGGCTAGAAATTTTTTAGCGGTTTAGGCTCGATAAAAAATACTGGTTTTTAGGCTTTATGGCTCGGTTCATGTTCGGTTTGGATCCTTGAATAAACTAAAGTTTTATGGCATTTATTGAATGAATTATATATCACTCCATTTTTATTCTTATTTGAGTTATACACAATTTCTTTTATAATATTTGAGTGTATAGAAAGTAGTGTTAATCTAGGAAGAGATGAATACGCAATACTATATAATATCAATGTCCTTAAAGCGTATCCAGATTAAGGTAAGTATCTCTAGGATGAGCCCCATTCAAAAAAACCATATAAACAGAATTTTTTTACTATTCAATATTAATAAAAAATTAAATCACAATCCTCTACGTTGCATCTTAAATAAGTTTAAAGCCGGCAATTTGATGATCCAAAAGCTTAATCGCCTTTCAAGTAAGATGATTAAAACTATCATGATTTAAATTCATTGGTAAACACTATTGGGTAATAACCTAATCTCGGCTAATTCAGCTCAATCTTCAGGCGCTAGTCAGATAAAATCGTTAACATTAAGGCGTTTTAATTTATATAAGTTTCTTCCAAATTTGTGCTGCTATCATTTTAAGAAAAACCAAGGCCAATGGTAGTCCTCGGCTAAAAACTTAGTTTAACTAAAAAAGGGCTTAAAAGGCTAAAAATAAAGTAACTAAACCAAAGTTGAAATGAACAAAAAAATTAATTTAGTTGATATTATTATAATTTTTGTAATATAGCATTTTTATTTTTAATAAGTCCCTTTTTCTTTAGAATTTAATAATAAACGTAATTATATATTTTTTAATATAAATAAAATAAAATATATCATGAATATAAAAAATCATATTTTTGATTAAAAAATACTAAGATGGAAGAGTTAGAACATCATCGACTTTAAAGTCTAATGCGAGGATGGAATATATAACTCTTACAAAACGTTATCTATCATATTTTTATTTTGCTAATGATTCAAGTATCCTATATCTTGTATCTTTTTTATATTTTAAATAAGATATTTGTATCAGTAGATTATGGTTTTATAAATAATCTGCATCTAAATTTATTTATTTAAGAACATAATCAACTTTAGATATTTAGGATAGATCAGAGCCCTGCTAAAGTTTTTGATAGTTTAGAGAGAATTTGAATTTAGAAGCCATTTAAAACCATATTTACCTAGGCCATAATAAAGGAAAATCTATTTTCAAGAAGTAAAAAGCAAGAATAAAAAAATATTTTGGCATAAAAAGAAAATAGTCCTAAGGAATTATAAAAAGGAGATAAAAATTAATGTTAAAGAATTAAAATTTGGCAGCTCTTAAAAATTATAACTAAGTTTGTGATGCCCCGCCCTCTCATGGTTTTCTTATATTAAATTAATTAATAAACGAAATACCATATATGATTAGATATTAAGTCCGTCTTTATTAAAATCAAGAAATATTAGAGGAAGGAGCCGTATTAACTAATAATAAGATAATCAATTGGTTAAAAATTCAATTTATTTTACCATATAAAAAGAACATAATGTAACATATTACATATCAATATTTAAAAGCTATCAAATATTCCTTGGCTGTCAAATTTTGATATGAATAGTCGCATATGACATTAACTGTCAAATAAAAAGTTTTAAAATCATCTGATTTTAGCAAAACGAATTAAAACATGAGTATACGTAAACACATTATTATATTTTTTTATAATAAACATAGGCTCACTCACGCAATCATGCATTGTTGCATCAACATTAAGTTTAATTTTAATAGCATCAATGCAAATTTTCAAGGAAATTCTTACCTCATCTAAATTAGCAACAATATTTGGTGGATTTTTAGGCTCAAATTTATTTGTTTTAGTTTTAACTGCTATAAGTAATGGCGAGACGATACTTTTTGGCAATTCATTTCAAACTAATTTGTTTCCAGAAGGTTCAAATATCATTATATTCTATCTTATAATAAATATTTTTTAGTGGTGATATGCTTAATAATCTCGGCATTTTTTTCATCATTGGTTCACAGAGTTTGCTTTACCGTTTGGTAAAATATTAGAAATTTTATCAAATTATAATTTTAATCACAAGCATTATATTTTCCTTGGTTGCCTTATATTATATCAATAGAATATCTGACATCACACACAATTACCATCAATACAATAATATTCAACAACAAACCAAAACACAATCCAAACCAAATCATAATTCAAGCCTGGCTCATAGTTATAAATAAAATATATAATTAATACCTACAATACAATATAGTATGTTTGACTTAATTTTTTTTCAAGTCAGGCTTCAATTTCATTTGCCTATTTTTTTCTTAAACTTGGTATATAAACAGAAGTACCTATATAATCTTTTCAGTCTATACTTACACAGCTGATACTAACATGCTATTAGCTGATACCCCTAAAAATAATATAGTATTTTATACATATTTAAAAAGAAAGATATAATTCATCAAATATTTTAATTTATTTATCTTTTTTTATCTTGGATATAAGATATCTTCAAGGAGTTTAAAAAAGATATTAAATAACTAACTTGATCCTATATACATATATCACGATATTACCCAACCCTGGCCATATCGCCGGAGTACAAAATTTAAAGCTTATTTAAGTGAAAAACAAAAAATTTTAATCACTTAAATCAGAAATGCACGAATATCATAACTTTTTATATCTATTTAGGTGGACAGTAAGATAATTTATTGTAAAAAATAATGTTAATATAAAAAAAAACTCATACATTAAATTAATTTTTAATCTTTATTTTGATTTATAACATTAACATGGAAAAGTTTTATATAAATAATTAATGATAAATTATTAAAACAATAAAAAGAATTAGAATTAGAAATTTGCATTTAAATTTTAAGTGATTTCTACATTTTATTATTAATGATTCTCCCAATGGTATCGAGACATCTCTGTATAGTATTAAGCGGCTCGATTTAACTGATTTTAAATTGAGATTTTTGCCAAAATTTTGTTAAACGACTCGATTTTTAAGAACAGATAACTCAATATTTTAGCTAAAAAATTATGCCACCCTCAATATTTTGTATATAGATGTTCAAACCTTTCTGCTAAGATCGCTAGGCTTGCGTAATATTTTTAGGCTAAAATATTGGGCTAACCGTTTTTAATAATTGGGTTGTTTAACAACACTAGCCAAAATAATATTATGCAGATTTTGAAATTTGGTTAACCGTTGTTCAAACTGTTCTTCTATCTATGACCAAAATCTCGAGACTACTAGTTTTTTTTGGTTAAAAAATTGGGCATGCCGTTTTTAAAAATCAAGCCACATATAAATATATTATGAAATTTAATCAAACATTGTTGATATTATAATTTATATGTTGTTAAGTTACTTTTGAAAAGTAACCGTTATCTTTATATTTCAAAAGTAATTAATTGCATTGCAAATTATTAATTATCATGTTTAATATGTAATATTTTTATCATCAAAATAATCATGATTAAATTTTTTTTAATCAAATTAATTTAAATGAAAATTCATCTTAAATAAAGAAATAAGCATTAAAAAATATACCATAAGATGAAATTTATCTACGTCAAATAAGAAATCACAATCGAATTTTATTTAGAGTGTTAAATTTTTTAATGCTAATGGTTATATTTTTCTATACATCATGGAAATTCATCAATTAATATATTTTTATTTTTGAGATATTTCGATAACTTTAATTTTATTATCTCTGTCAATCAATTCTAATCAGGGACATAGAACGGAATGTTCTGGCATGTTCCGGGAACGAAATTTGGGGAAAATTATGAAACTAGGATGGAACGGAGGGTGAAACTCGGAAAAGTTTCCGGAACCTTCACGGAAATTAATGAAAAATTTTAATTTATTAATAATTGTACAAATTTATATCATAAATATAATGTTTATGATGGTTTATTCATAAAAATTGATATTTTTCTTTAATGCAAGTTTGCTTCACATAATTATTTAGTATTTAAAAACATTTTTTTAATTCAAGTAAAAATAATTTTAATAGGTAGTTCTGTTTTATGCTAGTGTTGAAAAATGTTTTTTACAAATCAAGCTTATTTTAATACCATATCATACATATAAATTATAATCGTTATGGAATATCTCTTGCATAAAATTTAGGTTTAAAATTAAAAATTTAGATATTTTTTTATAAGAACGCTTTCTGGAACGTATCAAAACACGGAACTGGAGCGGAGCATATTTGTTGGCCTTCTGGAACATTCCGGAACGTTTCTAAATAATTTTTCCCAAATTTCAAATATTTGAAAACCACCATCTATTAAAAAAAAATCGTCTTAGCTATCTTAATGGATTCTTTTACCCATCTATTATAATATTTTTTTATAGTAGTTTGCCTTTATATTTACAAAATCAATAATGTCTTCTTTTAACGAATGTGTAGCCATTTTTGAAACTAAAATACTGCCCTTATTTAATGTTGTTCCATCTTCTTTGACTCTTTTTTTTCTCTCGTTCTTCCCTTTTGTCCAATAAATAAAGATATATCAATTGGAGAATTTCTATATTACTCATATACAAAAAAAAAGATAAAATATTTATTTTTCAAAAAAATTTGGCTTTATAAGTTTTTGTTCATCAATCTATTTTCAAATTTGTATTATAAAGACGTGCTTATTTTTCTCAAAAATAGTTTCCCTAGTTTAAACAAACGTATTATATATTTAATAAATAGTAATTTTAAATTAAATCGTTAATTGCAGCTAGTTACTTTAACAACACTATCAATTATGTACTCAGAATGTTTTAAAATATTTTAATCCTCAATTCAATATTGAGAATTTAATAATGGCTTATTAAATTAATTTCACAGGAAAACATTAATTTTAATATATCCAATTAATGACATTACCTTGATTATTTTCTGATAAAAAATTATTTCTAACCTTGAGTCTAGATTAGAGCCGGTCCTCCATAAGAGACATTAATATATGATTTGATTTTAATCATATATAAATTTATGTTATATTCTAATAGATACACCAAAGGTATTGCATAATGCAACAAAATCAGTTAAACATTCAACATCACTTTCTAAAACTCCTGTACCTAAAGTTGAACCCAAAAAAATAAACACATTTAAAAACTCTACTGAACCAACAAAGAACAAGGTCATCAATGGATTGGTTTCGGGTAAATTGCCAAGATCTCAAGAAAAAAAATCCAAATAGATTTTATATATACTTTAACAAATCCTTGCGTATAATGGTTTTGGGTTAATTTTATATTTATAAATAACTTTTATGAAGATTTTATAATGAATATTCTTAAATTTCATTTGTATAATTTTACATCTGTAAAAATGAATAATATACCAAATTTACTAAAAATAACTTAATAGAAATGATTGTTTTAAACCATTTCCTTTGAAAGTAATCATACATTATTTAAAAAAATATACATAGTACTTTAACCGTTTCGGATTCCTGGAAGTTTTAAAAAGAGGGTTTAAGATTTGAAATAGTGACCTGCAAGTGGCAAACTTTTCAGGCCCAGTGAGTTAAAATTTAGCTTTTGTACGGCCCGGCTCATTTCCATTTTACTAAGATATCCTGACCCGGTTTTTTTAAATACAAGGCTTGACTTGAAACATATGTAGTTAAACACCAAAATAAACATCTAATATTGGGAAGTGATTCAAAAATTTTTTTGCCCGGCCCAAATAAATTTTTTTAAAATGTTATACGGTTGGCCGGGCATCGCAAGCCTCTAGTTTAAAGTTTTGTTTCCAAACTATTAATTTTTAGGCTATTAGTTACCTTTTTTTTCGATTTATTTCCTAAATTATTTATTTCAATTTACTCTGACACCTATGAGATTTTCTTATACCAACTGATTTTAAAATTTTAAAAGAAAAAAAATGTAATTTTTCTTTAACTCAGATAATAATTAAATTGCTGATTTAGAGTTTGAGCATATTTCACGCTAGAAAAAAAATAAAGGCAAATTTTGACTCACGCTCGAAAAATTTACGAACCAAAATTATAATTAATTGACATCAATATTATACCTATTTTTATAGTAAAGTTATATAGTTAAGAAATATTTATATCTAAAAGAAATGTATACTATTTTCGATTTATTGAAAATAAAAATTAAAAATATAGTCATACTAATTTATTTTCTCATATCATTCCACCCACTTTTTGTTAGTTTTATTTAAAATTTAAAATATAGCATGAGTAAAAAAATAATAAAAAGATACAAGGAGGAAACCTACAAAAATCCTAACTAGATGGCTCAGATAATCAATATAAGTTGAAATTGATGCAACTAGGGATGTAACAGCAAATTTCACCAGGAAAATTAAAAATTTCTCCGATAGTTTCCCCAATTTTTATGTGTTTTTTTTAAATTAAATAATCATGATATTTAGCTAAAATATTTTTTCCTTATGGTTGATAAATTATAATTATGTTTCATTTTTGTATATATACGTTCATTCCATTTTCGATAATATAAAAGCGAACACAAGTAATATTCATCTAAAGTAAAATTAATTAATAATAAGTATTCATTAAATTTACATATGATGATATTTATGTTAAATAGAAACAAGTAATATTCATCTAAAGTAAAATTTTTAATTATTAGAAATAATTTAAGGCTAGTGATAACTGAGGAAAGGATATGGATTAGGATTATAGGTTTGAGATGTATGTGGGATAGAGTTAATGGTTAATTAAAATTTGGAAATATGAACTAGTTAGGATTATTTCATTTTTTTTGATGACAAATATGACAGTTCATGTGATTATAGACAGATCAGTATAAATTTTAATGAGGTAACGGCAATTTTCTTGAGTTGAACCTAAATTTCTTATTTTTTATTATAAAATAATCTTCAAAATTAATTATTATTTATCTCATTTGCAATTGTGGATATTAAAATTGTACAAAAAACTCGTCTTAATTAATTGCCTAGCCTAGAAGATATATTTGTAGTTAATATAGATTAGATTTATATATAATAGTAATTTTATAGATGATCATTAGTATAAAATATATTAAGTTGAATTAATTATTTTAAGAAAGCAATACTATGGAAACAAAACATTTTGTTAGTGTATCCTGAAAAGCAAGGTAAACTAGATATTGAATTTGCAACAGCCGTCTTTATGTCAATTGCCCATTTTCCATAACTCACTGTGTGTATTGGATGAAATTATTTCTATCTTTAAAACCTGCATTTGTATTACCTTTAAGATATTTACTCAGTAAAAATATGTTGAACAATGAATATGAAATGATTAAAAATATAGTAGTCGAAGGATTGATAAAAATTTGATCCTCATTATCGATGGTGGACTAAAAGGGAAATATATAAATTTCATTATATAAATCAATCGAAACAGGGACCAATATGCATACGGGGGGGGGGGGGATATATCTAATAAATTTATGAAAGAAGTTGAGGAAATATGAAACACAAAATTTAACACTTAATAACTGGATGCAAGTAAGAAATCACAAGCACTTGTAAGAAATAAATATCGAATGCATCGTCTGTGTAAAGACTTAATTTGCTTTCAAATGATAACTAAAATATTGTTCAAATTTTAATAGCAAACGCCAAAAGTATTATAAAATATATAAAATCCAACATGTTACCTACATTTAAGGAAAAGCAACTATATAGAAATAAAAATAGGATTGCTTTCTTGTTGCCTAGCCCAAATCGCTGGGCTGGTAGAGTAGTGATGTTTAATAGCGTGTTAAATAATAAAAATATTTTTCTGGATTTTTACTGATAATTCGGAATTAAACAGGATAAAAAAATTGGCAAGGTCAGGAAATTGGTTTAGGAAAAAATTTCCTATGGGGAAAGTATCTTTTGTGAATGAGCTCACTTCTAGATGTTGAAGCTCATAGGAATAATTTCATCTTCAAACGAAGATAACGAATAAAATAGTCAAAATTGTATTATATTTGTTTAAATATATGTTAATAGCCTATATGTTTTAATTAAACATGAAAGAAATTCAATATTGACCTGTAAAATATTTTTTAGAAGGAAATTTCCCGTTTTCCCCCAAATTTTCCCTAATAGTTTTCCAGAAAATTTACATCCCTAAACGACAAACAACATGTTGAAGAGAAGCCACTTTTTTTGATGAAAATTAAAGAATTAAAACGGTTAAAAAGAATTCCCAGATAACTTTAATTGTTTTCAAGATTTATTACATAAAACATTATGTTATAAGTTGATTTTTACATTTTTTTTAAGAACACATAAACTCATCAATTTATTATAAAGGTTAATCCAACTCCCATTGCTGACTCGCGGTTTGGGTTAGAATTGAATATTTAAAACTGTTGAGTCTTAATTAATACATAAATTTAATAGTTAAAAAGTTTTGCTTTATTATACATTTAAATTATATATGACCCTCAGTCAGATACTATTTTATATAATATCCGATACAGGATTATATAGTAGAGATTAAATATCGGGCTAGAAATAACTCTTTTTAGAAATAATTTATTATATTTTCTAATACCTATTATGACAAGTTAGTGACAAAAAATATACAATAATTAGGAATTATTTTAAATATGACAAACTAAAAGCCGAATTCAAATATGGGTAGCTTTTATAATTTGGATTGTTAAGGTTGCTCGAGTTTTGTGGCATCGAACTTGTATTTCTCGTTATAAATGGGTTATTCTGTAGGGCTGGCCCAGAATTGTTAAAATCTCTCATTCGATTTGGAGGAAAATTTTGGAACGGCGCTAGATAAAAGGGATCTACATGGTAAAACGAAATGTCTCTTTCCGGTGGTATGTATTTATAAGTGAAATCGTAGTCATAGTTTGAGTCATATTCCGTTCTATGATTATTATATTTAATGTATATTAAATGATCTATCTCCAAATTTTTGAGAATATCGATTTAAAATAAATAGCTAAAAATTAAATGATATCTTAGCTTTGATAAATTTCCCTAATTTGTAGTCGATTTATTTACATTTTCACAGTAAAACTTGTCAAATTCGGGCTCGTGATAATTCGGGCAACTTCCTAATTTGACTAAAATTTTTAGTACAAATCAAATTCTTATTAACTACTATAATATTAGCTTGATAAATTGTGCAACTGTCTAAGTTGAGCAAAAATCTTAGTTCCAACGTTATCCAAATTCTACAAGTTTGACTAGAAATTAGAAATGTGTTTTTCCGTCAATGTGTTATTTTTTCAACTTTAATTCATTTTTTGAGGGCATTTTTTAAAAATCTGATTTTACCAAAAATGAATTCCATAATGTTCGGAATACCTAACCTTTTAACTTAATATTATATATTAGTATTTCCATAGATTTTTTATATAAATTATAAATGACTCAAAGGTTAATGGCAAAATTGTCTACAATTCATAAGATAGGTATTCTAAACATGCAGGAATACTTTTCTTATAATAACAGCTTTAAATTAATGATCAAAAGTTGAAAAAAATACTGCCGGAATAAACATATTGCCGCTAACTTATAAATCGATTTTGTAATGATATTAATAGCCATAGATTTTTTTTGTTCCTGGTTATTTACAAAAATTCTTAAGCTATAGATTTTATTTATACTTAGATTTTAGAACATGGTAAGTTTATAATATTCTTTTGTTTCCTTCATTCCTTATTTTTTTTCTTCCATAAGATGATCATTCAATGGTCGTTAATATAATTATGTTTATAAGAGTATTTTGTAAGTCGTTTCTCAACCAATGGAAAATGTATATCAAAGACCTGCAGAGATCAAAATTTTAGGCCCAGTCAGGATTTTTTAAAAATTCAATTTTTAAGCCCTGTCCGGAAATTTTTTCGAACCCAGTCCCATTCTTAAATTTTTTTGATCATTTTGGCCCAGCCTAGAATTTTTAAAATGTTGTTACCTTAAATATTTTGGCTATATTTTGTAAATTGTGGAAAAAACGGTCATTAAATGATTATTAAAGGCTCCACTCTCCACTATATGATTTTCCAACTAATAAATTAAATTTTTTTTAAATCGACTTGGCCCGGGATTTCAAAAAATTATTTTTCGACCCGGCCCAAGTTTGTATTTTTTTTTTCTGGACAGGTCTTTACTAATGAATTAAACATAAATCAATAAAAAAAATTTTTACTCAGATTTGGAACATATGGTATCCGTCTTAACACCTTTGTTTTTCCCTTTTACCTATTATTAGAAATAAATGGATTAGTTATGAGATATATACTTACAATGTACATAAGGTGCAATTATGTTTAAATTATAAAAACAGCAAGGGAAAAAAATCTCGCTTGATAAAAACTCAAAAAATAATGAAAACCCATCCTGAACTAATATTAAATTATGATATACTTTTTCTATTTTAAAATATTTATATGCCGGAATAAATATATAATTATAATGCGCAGCGCAAACTATAATTGGTTAGGTAAAATATGTTAATTACGCCATCAAGATATGTTCACATAATTTATCATGCAATCTATTAAAATATTTTACCCTTTAAAAAATATTGAAAAACTCCTATTATAAAAAGGTGACGATATGCAGCATCGTAAATAAATTTAAGCAACCCTTGCTTGAGTAAACTAAGTAGCTCCGGAAAAATTTTAGCTTTAAAGAATTATCTATCATTTTAATGCAAATAACTGTTTCTATTTATAAAAATAGCATCACCCCATCACTATTAGGATTCTTTGGTTGAGCTCGTACAAAATCTGGGGGATAACTCATAGGCAGATTCACGGAACGTCTTGGCAAAGATATAATCTGACTAGCTTCAAGTTCCGTTATCTCATTTTGAGATGTTCTCTCTTAAAAATATTGTTTTTAAGGTAGTGCATTTAATAAATTATAATGTTAAATAAATAATTAATAACATAAAAATTTTAAATAAAAGGAAACCAGATTAAGATTAAAGTTTGAAAAAATAATATATTTCGTAAAATAATATCATTGCGATACTTCAAATTCTTATTATTTTTATAATCATATAATATAAGTCTTAACTATAAAAAAATATTTTAGTATAAGCGCTATGAAAGATCATCATATTCGTAGGCCCTACTAATAGTTTTTTTAAAATCATCTTTCCCCTTTCATTCCTCAATGATTAGTAGGGAAAAAATGATAAATATGTTGTAATATTCATGAATACTAAAAATGTCATATTCAGATTAGAAGAATTATTACGATATACAAGATATTGTTTAGACTATGTAAATGAGTGATTTCGAAGATGTTAATTTTAAAAGAAAAAAATATATATAGATATTGTTGATAGAATTTCACTTTTTTTAATTTTTGTAAAGGAACTTTTTGACTTTTAATTTTTTACTATAATCTTTTTATAATGATAATTTTATATGTTTTACTTTATAATTTGTTATTAATGGAGATGAATGAAGGAAAACATAAATTAAGTTTAACATTTTTGTTTCAATCTTCTTACCCTCATTATTCAATCTATTTTGTTTTATCTGGATTCAACTATGTTTTTTATCTTATACAATGGTGTTCAAACTTTCAATTTTACAAATGCCAAGTAACCTGCGGTTTTAGAAGACAATTACTGATATATTAATAAGATGAATCGTGAATGAAATTTTATTTAAACAAATAGATTTGTAAAATACGGATACCGGACATATATAACTCATTATAAACTGGAGTGGACTTTTAAATTACATTTAAATCCATAATTTAAAAAAAAACTGCCCTTTTAGACAAGATCATGAAAGATAAATATGTATATCAAGAAAAGACGGAACTAGATTTAAGACCAAAAATATAAAGACAAGATATAAAAATAGAGATAATAGATAAAAATAAGGGACAGGATGTAGTACAAAATGATAGGCAGGATCCTGGACGAACGGGGCTAGATAAGTAACAAAAATAGAAAAAAATGTCAGTTACATAATTAACCAATGCATCAGGTCCACCTATCCAAGACACCCTAACGTTAGAAATCTTAACAATTGCTGTAGACACATGGCCGAGTTTGTTTGCCCCAACAATTGGATAGCCGCAAAGAACAAGATGTATACACGTGAAATCCCCATTTGAACTAAAATTGCCTTAACACAAGATTTGAATTTGAAGTGGCAAAGTATTTCTGCAAAAAAGAAATTCGAGATATCCTAAATGCCGAAAGGAATGCCCATTTGGATGGTTGGTTTAAAAATAAAAGTGGTTGTAAGATATGTATAAGTGTAAAAGTGAAGTTATTATAAGCAAATTTAGAGAACGTAAAGGAAGAGTAGGTGAAACAAGGAATAAATATTAATAATTTAGGCCCTTAAGTTGTCAATGATGATAATACCGAATAAGGTTAAAGCGAGGAGTAAAATGAGTTCCCAAGTGGATAAAAAGAACGGTTGGGAGAGGGGGGAGGTAGGTACACATGGATTATTAAAAAACATGGGCATTCCGGGTTTCGACACAAGTCTAATAAATCTTATAAATTGAACAAAACAGTGTCAACATAATTCAATCTTAGAAATAAAATTATATAAAGATTTAGTATTATGAGTAATGAAGACAGTAAGATCAGTAAAAGATAACCAAAAGTAAAACAAAAAAAACAAAAAAAAACAATGATTAACAATGTATAATATGCATGAAAGATTATACTAAAAGAAGGAAAGGATGAGTATAACTTAAATGTACCAAGTGTGAAGAATGAGCTTATGCTAAGTTAATGATGATTGTTCATTTGTATTTAGGTACATCAGGAACTCTTAAAAATATTAACACCCCCCCACCTCCCCCCCCCCACACATTCAAATTATTTACTTTTAACTCGCTCTTACCAAATAAAAAAGAGGAAATCAAAACCAAAATTAGCAAAAAAAGACAATCAAAATACTAAAACAAGGAAATCAAAATTAGAAAAAAGGCAAATCCAAATACTACCAAACCCATCTCCTCCATCACTAACCCCTCTTCAATTTATTCAAACGTCTTCATAACTTAACTATCTACCCTCTTTCAATTTCATGTAGAAGCCCTTAATGCACGTAACATATTACCGAATTTTATACTATTATAATTTATGTATTGATTTATATTAGGATACAAATAAAGTTCAAAATACAACTATAACATTGTCAAAATCAGATTTAGCTCATCCTTTTTTAAAGAATTCACTTCTATACATCTTATTATAAAAATTTGCTTAAGGCTGAGTTTGAGGCTTATGCTTAAATTTAAATTAACTAGTTTTTAAATTTAATCAGATCTGATAAAAATTTATTTAAGTGTAAAATTGTCATCAATTTGAGATTTTAAATAATTAATCTTTTAAAAAAATGTATCTAAAGCTGAGTTATATTCATATTATTTTAATTGTAAAATTGATGTTTTACTTTACTATTTTCTTAATTATTAAGATTTTAAATTTATCAATTCTAAACCTTTTTTTAAAAATTACTGAGATTTTAAATTTTACAGTTCTAATGCATTTTATCAAACCTCAGCCTATATTTCAATATTGTATCATTCATATTAGTAATAATAATAAAAATGTAGCCAGAGTTATTGGTGTTTTTATATAAAGCAACGTAGATCAAAAAGTATAATAGATAGTGATTAGTTTTGTTATATATATATATATTAATGCTTGGGGTAATAAAATCACGGTAATTCATCCCCGATATACTCTAATTTTAGCCAAGAAAATTAAAGTGGAGATTAATAATTAGAAGGAAGAATTGGCGGGATTTTAACTGACTATTTAATGAGAAGATATAGTTAGCTATAATAAAACCCACAATTTTATTTGGTCCCTAACTCTGGGTAATAAAGAAAAAAAAATAGATAATCTTGAGACGATGGAAATCAGGATTTTTATGAATATCAGGTTAGTAGGGAACATATATATAGGAAATGAGTCTATAAGATGGGAGTAAATTTGGCATACAGTTTAGTTGAAGAAATTTTGGTCTCACTAAAATGAAAAGAGGAACTACAGAAGGTTTGATGATGGTAACTCTATTAAAATTAGAAGATTTTGATAGAAATGGTTTAGTAAAAGACAAAAAAATAATTAAATTAAAAAAATAAATATATAAACTAAATAAAATGATAAAATTATTAATTGTTCGATCATAAATATTCGAAATTTTTTTAAAAAAAGGAATATAAATAATAATAGGTCACAATTTATATAGATGTACTTTTGATAGATTTTTCACTACCATTATTTTTCTTGTATTTGATCATAAAGATGAGTAAGAGCAATAGTATCAATATGAATAAAACGGCGCAAATTATTAACGTTGTCGGTTGAGCGAATACTTGTGGGAAAATATGGTAACATAAATTTTACTTCTGAGTATAATAAAATACAGTAGTTCTTTGAATGTCAAAATTAAAATATAAAATAGAATATTTAATCTAGTGTTTTTAAAAAGCCCGATTCGTGTAAATTTATAAAAAAGGCCAGATTAAAATTATACCCAAAATATTATTATGTTAGCTTGGAGATTTTGCTCATAGATGACAGCAAGGTTTGACATCTATTTACATCTCGAGACTTACATAATTATATTTTGGCTAAAATCAGGGCCGTTTTTAAAAATTGACCCAAATTGGGCTTTTTAACAATACTAATCTAAATAGCGCCTAAATTTATAATTACTTAAACACCTTTCATTTATTTATTTACTTTTATATCGGAAATTTAATTATAAGATTAATTTTCTTCTAAAAATTTATACTTTAAATGTACATCTCCTTTTCATAATCTTATTACTTTTCTTGATTCGTACATCTCCTTTTCATAATCTTATTACTTTTCTTGATTCCTAAACTTCAACTTAAGTTATAGCTACTGACTGAAATCACAATAAAATTTACCCTTTAACAATTTATAACATAAATCCTCTTTCTTCTATGCTAACATTATATTAGTAGCGAAACATGTCAAACTGGCAAAAAATAAATTAAGAATTAGCATACCCTAATTATTAGAGTTATAAGTCAAGCAAAATAAGGGCTATTATAAATAGTATTTATTTTTCCTTTCATATAAAATTTTAATTTTTTTTCTAAATAAAAAAGTGGAGGAAATATTTCAATTTTAGTTTCATTTAGATGGCTTATACTTTTAATACATATTTCGTCCTAGAGCCCTGTAAATTCAATCATTTTCTACCCCACCCCAGCATTGATTTTTGAACCTGGCCCGATATTTATTCTTGGGCTCGAGCCCGTATTACCATTTTTTTGATAAAACAAAATAAAATATAATTTTTTTTAGATTTTTTTTTAAATATTTTTAAAAACCAAGTCAGGCCCAAAATATTCAAAAATATTTATAGCCTCCCTAGGAAATTTATTCCCAAATCGTAAAAAAATATTACTATTGCTGCATTCAGTTTGGGAATCGCTTTGTTTATACATTGATTTACAGGTGCAGACGTCTTCGCATTTAGCGTTGGATATCATTCTGCAATCATTATCTCGAATGCAAGGTTGACTTAATAATGGAACTTTGTTAAAAATATATAAAAACAAATAGAGAGAATAGTTTATAGACTCTTTAATTATTTCAATATGATCGTTTTCATAAGAACGTATATGTGGCGCTAGTGATGCAAAATGCTCCCATTTGAGCCAATTTTTAAAAAAGGCTAGAGTATATCCGAAAAAATTTATGCAAGATGGCATATGGACATCTATTAGCCAAATCTTGAGGCTCAAGCAGCAATATTTTTCTAGCTAAGATATTGAATTTTAGCCATTTTTAAAAATCTGTCCAAATGGAGCGATTTTGCATCACTATGCGGTGTAGATAAATTTGTGTACTATCTGGCCGAGCTGACTATTGACAAAATTTCTTCCGCCAAAAAACCGCTGATTTAAATTGGTATATCATAGCTGCATCAGCAATGCATTTAAATAAATTAAACCATATTATTTTTTACCATTTAATCATAACTTTTTACGTTATATTCGGCTCGAGAACAATATAAAATCCAATTATTTTAAATAATGGTTTATAATGCAAATTTTTATAATCATAATTTTTTGTCAGCTTTATATTGTCTCTATTATTCTTACAAAATAGACAAGGTTAATTTATTGAATAAGTTTAAATGTTTTAGCGTTATACTCTTGAAAACAATAAACAATCTTTAGCCTGGGATTTTTAAATTCAGATTATAATGAAATTTGTTTACGAAAAAGCTTAGAGAAAACATATTAAAAATTTCATAGTAAGTTTCTAATTTATTCTTAATTTTTTTTCTGTGCAATTATTTCTATTTGAATAAATGATTCATAAGGTAGGTTGTGAAACTTGTTTCAAACTTAGAATTTTAAGGATAAATAACTTTAAACTTAAGAAAACTTTACAAAATTAAAACAAGTATTTAGACACATTTTTTATTATTCATTAAAAAAAAGGTTTATCATATATTTTTCGATATTTTAAAAGTTTTCGAATTAAATTTTTGATGCTTTTAACACGGTCAATAAAATGTTTTGAATTACCCAAATTAAAATAAATCTATATCAGCTTTCTAACTCTTATCCTATCTTCAATAGCTGTACACTCTTACTTAAATTGTAAACTATCGTCAGTGCAATAAATTTGGATATAATAATTTATATTTTTTGTTTAAAAATATAAATATTATAAAATAAAGTTATTGAATATTATTTATTAGCTAGTAAAAAATAATGCATCAATATTTAATTCTAACAAATATATCTGGCATACATTGAAGATCTTACTCCTATTTAAAATAATATACATCATTATTAATAATTCTTAAAAAAAAAGGAGCGCTGATAAAAACACCGTAGTCAATTAAAGTCTCGAAGCACGGATTTAGATGTAATGCAGACTATATATTCTAAATTTGGTGCTAGCTTTTAATAATTATAGAAATTATTAAACTGTTCAATATTTTACAATAAACTTATATTAATCATAAAATCATAATTATACATTTCTCCTCATCACACTACTATGTTCACTTCCTACTTGTTCTAATTTTAAGTCGAAACTTAATAAACACTTCTTATGGTAATCTTAAAACATATAATTTTTGGATAAAATATTCCAATATAGAAAAAGCATACTCCATATATAATTTCTATTTAATATTAATAATATTAAATAGAAATTTGAGTAATAAATATTATGAGTCTTTATATTTTTCAAATATTATACCCTTGGAATCAAATTGATCAACAACAGAATTTGGTAACTTATTGGGAGTTGTATGTAGAATTGAATCAAAAATATAATGAAAAATCATGTTAGGAAAAAATCTCACGTTTTAAACTAAGGTATATGGTCCTATTTCTTATTAAGTTATTCTCATCCATTAACCCACAGATGTAAGGTCCAAAAGCTTTTTCGCCGAATTCAGATTGTATGATTTTTATCTCTATAAATGGTCCTTTAAAACACAAAATAAAAGATAATATAAAAAATATAATGTAAGAATAATAATTGAATCATTAAATTATTTTATTGAATACCTCCAATGTATATTTATTAATGCTAATCATTAATGATCACTCACCCTATTTATATTTTTTACAGACATAAGTTTTTTAAAAAAAGTATTTATTTTTTTGACATCCTAAATATATAAAAAGCAAAATATTAACAAGATTTTGCTAACAATAGGAATTAGTAATTATTTAATATACAACAAAGGCTTTAGAAATGTTTGATTATCGCACTGTTCGCATGCGAATATACACGTGTCTTTATAGAAAAGATTTTATGGGATGTTCTATAAAGCAAAAATATTATAATTTTTTATTAAATCTTTCTTATTTTTTAAATTTTTTTAAGCCTCTTGGCAACTCTTCAAGAAAAGAACTGGATGAATAATCATATTAATTTAAACATAGAGCAATGTTATAATACTTTATTCAGCGATGAATCAGTTTTATATTATTTAGGGTAGTGTTAGGAATACGATCTGGAATCATACCAGATGCCTTCTATCCTGATTATCTTCAAAGAAATTATCTAATATGTTAAAAAGGGCTAGAGTTTTACACATAACATGAATTAACTTATAATATAATAACCTTGATAAATAAGCTTTAATGTGATCAAAAACCAAGGATTTTCTCAAGAATTTATTTTTAGAATCTATTCGAAATTCCATATATAAAAGTGGATGTCAAAGAATAATTGATTCCACGACTCAATGAATTGAAATATAAGGAAGATACAAGCCGCTTATTATGAATATTTTTAAAAATCGAATATTTCGAATTGTATTATTACAGTTAGATATTATATTTAAAATTTGATAATTATTTATTATCTATATTATTTTAAATTAATAGTTTATTAAAATGAAATAAAAATCGTATGATAATCAATTTTTTTTTAAATAAGAAAATGGCTAAAAAAAATGATGGTGTGATTGAGCATTAATAACGTCGCATAGTTGCAAATATTTAGAGGTTTTGTTCAATGACATTAATACTAACCTAGATTGAAAATTAATTGATTAAAAGTGTACAAGCATTGAAGTTAGTTGTAGTCAGAGTTGGACAGGTCTCCAGAAAAAGAATCTAGATACAGATACAGATTCTTTATAAAAAAATGAATCTTAGATACAGATACTAGTATCTTTTTCAAAATATCAAAAAGATACAAGATAAAAGATACTTGTATCTTTTACTAAATTAGAGTATCTTAAATACAAGATACTTTTAAATTATAAATACCAATTAAATTAGAATAGTTTATAAAATACAGTTTTTATTATTTATTTGTGAAGAACATAGCATACACATATAAGAATGAATATTTGCAATAATTAATAAAATATTTATTAATAAATTAATTATAATAACCAGGGATTTTAATATTGGTTTTTGCCCATTAATAGCTTAAACAGGGAAGGGAGAGTAGTATATTTAATGGGAGTTGAAAATTTGCAAATAAGAAAAAAAAATTAAATCAAATGATTTATTAGAAATTGCAGGTTATTTTCTGTGTTGTTTTAAATATAGCTTATATTCGGAGTATATGGCTAAATGGCATCTCTAAAAAAATATACTAGTTTTATTTTATTCATTATCTTTAATAAGTATTTATCATTATTTATTTGTGATTTTATGTATTATTTAAATTAGTTTATTTACTAATATGATTTATTAATTCTTGCGTTTGTAATATCATATATATAAATATCATTTAAATCTCTTTTCAATTTTTTTTTATATATTTCTTGCAAAATCATTAATTATATATAAAAAATATCATAATAATGTACAACTTTATATTATAATTATTAAATACATAATTATTATTAAAAAAATATACATAAAAATGGATTTCGATATTATTTATAAAAATAAATGATTTTATATATAATTTTTTTAAAAATTTTACAACATTTTATTTTTGTTAAAGAAGCCATTTTATATCGGATCAAATTTTATAATATTGGCGGATAACCGATATTTTAAAATGGGTGAAACCAGCCCGATCCGATCCGATAAAAAAATCGGCACATCCCTAATATATTTTATATATAATTATTTTAGCAAATTCTTATTAGAGAAAATATTTAAGCTACAATTGATATATAAAAATATTAGATAATTTTAAAAGGCTCTTAATTAAATAATTATAATAAGGTAGAATTTAACTTTATTAGTTACTTTTATTTATTTATGATATAAGTAAAATTACATTACAGTATTTATTTACAAAATTTAATCAATTTAAAATGCATTAAAGAAAATTATTATGTTTAATAATTAATTAATCAATATTCTGCCATATTGTTATTTTTTTGCGCATTCTGTTTATAAAGGTGTGCGAGATTCTCTTCAGAATCTGTTTTTAGTGAAGCTGGTGATATTGACAGTTATTATTGCCGCAAGCTGACCTCTGATAAATTGGAAATATTGGTATTTCTAAAAAGAAATCTTTGTTATATTAATGTTAAATATTATTTTAAATATTTATTTCAAATTTCATAATATAATTGTTTATTACTTATTATGTATATAGATTAATGTTATTATTTATTATAAAAAGTGATTTAATAATAAAAATATTTTATATACTTTTAGAATTGCAATTGAAATGAAAATAAACTATAACTCATCATTATAATATATTTAAATGACATAAGTTATGGTATAGCTAAATTATAGATGTTATACTAATAAATTATATTAAAAATTAAAAGCATTGGTATCTTTAGAGAATACAAAGTTAGATATGATATCGGATCGGTAATCGGCCGATATCAATTTAATATCGGGAATATCGAATCGGCCTCCAAAAAGTGGTATCGACACACCCCTAAAAAATATATATCCAAAATGATTTTAATTTGTAATCAACCATCTTCTATAAAAAATTTTATTAACAATTATCTAAGAGGGAGTTAAGTATAGGTATTATTATGTTGATAATTATAAAATAAAAATATAATATACTTTAATATGTTTAACAAAGTTTTTAAAGGAGTTTGTTGAACCTTTAATAACTTTTTTACTTCTGCAATTTTGACATTCAGCTTGTACCTTGTTCTTTTTCACATGAATTTTATAAAATTTTCCATCTAGAATTTTAAGATTCGGATTTGATTCAGGAGAACCCACCTCCATAATTTCATCTTCACTACTATGATTGTTAAACATTTTACAAATTAAAAAATATTACATATAAAATATATCCTTTATTTAGTTTTGGTGTTGTTATTTTTAATTTATCTATCTTTGTGACCTATAACATTTCCAACTAATTTTGGTTATCAATATATTTAAAATATAGCGGGAAAAATAAAGAAAATAATACAAGATTTCACGAAGAAAATAAAGTTACATTGTGTGATATGTAAATGTTTTAAACAAGATTATTAAAAAGAATCTGTATCTGTATCTTTTTAAAGAAAATGAAAAAGATACAAGATTCTTTTCAAAATAAAGGATCTTAGATACAGATACTAGTATCTTATTAAAAATGTCGATACTGAGTATAAGATACAAAAGGATCTTGTATCTTAGATACAAGTATTCGCGGTACTGCCCAACTCTGGTTGTAGTCAATGTCATTGGCTATAACAGATGCCATATTTCGTTATATGCTTCCCAATGGAGGACTTTAATGTATGTACATTTTCCAAATAAATCGTTTTTGATTTTAAAATTTATTCCTAGCTCTTTTTAGTTCACATAGTGTTATTTTTTTAAAAACACATAGAGATATATTTTTCTTCCTTTTTATTCAAATCCATTTTCTATTTAATTATTAATAAATATTAAAAATCTGCAAGACCGATCCGGAACAAGCCGAAGATATAATTTAAAAAATACGGGCCGAGTTTATTTATGGGATGTGCTTAAAAATTAAAAAAATTGAAAATCTTAGCTAAACCAATTTAAAAATAATAAATTTAATATTATAATATTAATCAATCTAGTGTTGTTAAACGGCGTGATTTTTAAAAAGGGCTAACCCAATATTTTAGCCAAAAAATGTTATGCAAGTCGAGATTTCGTTAATAGATGTACAAACATTTCTACCATATGTGAGCAAGGCTTGCGTAATATTTTTGGCAAAGATATTAATATCCATTTACTACTCATATTTTCGATTTCCCTTGGAAGCAATTAAAATATAGCCAAAATTATTTAAAATTACAAAATTTTAATAATTCTAACCCGGGATCAAAATTAACAACCCGGGCAGGGCCAAATATATTTTTAGGAAAAATCTTGGTCTGGATCGAGCTTTAAAATAAAAAAAAATTCAAATCCGGGCTGGCTTAAAATTTTGACCTCATCAGATCCAAATAAATTATATTATTATACTTTCCATTGTCTTGGATATTAAATTCAAAGCGGTCTCGTCTTCTACGCCTGCTCGGAGGAGGGCGATATATCTAGATTTTAACTCCGATGCATATTGACAACTCATAATCAATTTGTTATCCGAATAATTAACTGGAACATCCCTATTTACGAATTCGACAGGTTTACCACCATTAATAGAGTATTTTGTAACCTTGAAAATCAGCGCATTCTCATCTTCCTTAATATTATCTTCTACCATTACAGGATCTGACGTAGTTTTAAAAACAAATAGATTTTGTTCATTTTGATATTATTTGATTTTTTACGGCATTCATGTTTTTCTAAATTACAATACAAAAATCGAACTTTTCATACTTTTGCTCTAGAGTAATTATTTTATTATTAAAATGGAATATAAAAAAAATAATCTAAAAAAGCATTAAACAACTTAAAACATAGTAAATAATTTTAATTCATGATTAATTAATTTAACTTATTAACTGAAATACGCAACAATCAATCGTCATATCACATATGTTGATATTTGAAACATATAATCAATTTTTAATGAAAACCCTACATCAGATTTATTTTTTCAGGTCCAGCCTAATCCAACAAATAAAATTTTATATCCCGTTGATCCAATCCGAGTTTTTTTTTCTTCGAAAATCCCAGTCCGATCGGAGACTAAATTTAGAAGTCGATCCTAATCCAATATAGGATATGATTTTCTTCATGTTCGACTATTTGAAAGCGAAAAAATTATAAGCGTAGAAGGGAAATTAATTTTTTTGGTGTTATTCATGATAAAGAATAAGTATGAAATGAAAACATTAGGAATTAGTTAATGGCTTTTGCACATTCACTTATTTATTACGTATTTTACTATAATATATTGCATAAATTAATCTTAGTTGCTTATTCACAAATCCTATTCTAAAAATAACAAAACTAGTTCGTTGTTTTATGATTTTCAAGCTTAAGTAAATTAGGGTATATCAAAGGGATGCCGTATTTATTTTTTAAACACGGCCCTGACTCTAGCCTAACTCATATATAAACTTTTAATTAGCCCTAAACCATATATCTCTACTTAATTCCACCCCTTACCTCAGTTGTTTATTTTAATTTAAAATATATTTAATCAAATTAAAATATTTACTTCAGGTGAGGATTCCTTGAGTTTAGATATTATCAAATGTTCCCTGGACTAATTTAAATTTTGAAAAAAAATCCAATCCCCGAGAGAATGTTTATCCTAATAACCGAAAGAAAGAAAGAAAAGGGATGAGAAAAATAGAAAATAACGGAGCATTAAAAAATAATTTATTTTCATTAATACATGGTTTCGTAAATTAAATTAACTCAATCAACTAAATATTTAATTAATTTAAAAAAAAAATTACTTATAAATTTATATTCATTTTACGATTCTTATAAATTATCGTCTTTTAGCCTTCAATTTTTTAAAAATATATAATTATATATTATTGTTTAATCTCAACTAACGACATATATACTAACTTTCAACTTCATACAATTTTTTAAACTAAATTTTAATTTGATTGCAAATTTTCCCCCATGTAGATCAAGATAATTCATAATGAAAAAGAAATAAAATTAAGATGACCACAAGCATGAAACTACTATAAACAAATTAGTTATATTTTTCAACTGTGGTATAAGGCAAAGTGAGACTATTGACAAAGATTAATTCTTTATAAGATAGAAATAATTAAACTATTTCCCAGTCATTGAATATCGGTTGGTGTTTAGTTTTTCAGATAATAGTAACGGTGCGGAATTCAAGCTTTACTTGTAAAAAAAATAACATAGGATGATTTGACTGCTTTAAAACAGTCGGTTCAAACCTTTTCGCATACAAACAAATTTATTGGAAAGCACATTTTTTTAACACCAAAACCTCTAAAACTGCTAACGACTTTTTTATTGTGCATATAGATGGTAGATGTTCTAAATTATATCAAATATACAAAGTATTTTCCTGCATGCAATTAAAATATTTTCAAGATTCTCTTCTATAAATAATATTTATAAGGAGAAAAAATAAATAAATGGTTTAGGACACCCTTTTAAACTAACTTGGGTAGCTAATACCGTCAAATAATAATTCATGAATATATCATAAAATAGATATTCATCATATAGACTAACTTCAGCTATTCTAACGCAGATGGAAGACTGCCCTCAAATTTTTAAATTCATAAAAATATTTTAACCTAAAATATTAATTAATATTGAAATTAAGAATTTAAACTTTTTAAGGTTCAAATAATTAACTTATTTATAGGTAGGTATTAATTAAGATAGTTTTTGAACTGGATATTATAATACTTGTAATTTTTTTTAATACTTTATTCTTTATTTTATATTTTATTTTAATTAATATTAATATTAATATATCTGTTTTACTTTGGAAACCATTAAGAAGTTATTCTTTCTTTTACTTTTAAAAAGATCAAAGATTTTTTTATATCTAGAATAAAGAAATAAAATAAATTAGGAAAACGATAGCGTACCAAATGCAATGGAAATCCATTTTTAGAGTCTAAACTAAAGAGTGCAGCTTAGTAAGCTGCAAAGTAATTATGGAATTAAGATGTAGATATAATACTGCCTTCCATTTTTTCAAATTTATTTTACAAAATATTATAATAAATATCACATGAATTAAACATTTAAATGGATAATAAATTCAATCTTCGTAGACCGAAAAATAGTTGGATCGTTCAACGACTTCATGCTTATTCCTTTTTATAATTTTTTCACTTTTATCCCCCTTAAAACTTTTGTTGGTTCTATCGTCGGAAAATGATTTACCTGTTGGTACGTACGTAAATTCATGTTTGTTGAAGTAATTATTGCACCTTAGAACAAATGATTCGTAACAACCCTTAATGGAGAATGATGGCCATTGGCATTTGATAAATCTTTTAACGAATATAGCTCTAAAATTAGCGTTAAACACTAAATAAATTGCCAAATGTAACCAGTGATCAGTGTGAATGAACAGATTATGTATGTGAATCAAGGTGGAATCCGTAATCACTCCACGAATTCCTAGAGCCGAAAATATGTAGAAAGGAATATTGCAGGCCAAATAGAGAATGACTAGGGTTATGACCATCTTAGCAGCCTGCTTATTTCTTAGATGTCTATGTTTTTCAGCTGCAGATATGTTATAAGGAGCAGTGTAGTCAACGGAGGCTTCCCTGATTTTTTGCAGGCTTGATTTTGAAATAGAGAAGTTTTTCTTGTGAAATGGAAAATTGTAATCCGAAAATTTTCGGGCAAAGGAATTACTCGCAAAGAACGTCGATCGCCGTGTTTGTTTGTTTTTAGCCAATTTATCGTCGGAATTATTATAATTTAAATCTCTTGGAAAGAAATGACTAGTTGATTCATGTTCGAACGCTATCATGGGTGATTTAGAAAAAAACATAACATTCTTTGAGGATGGAATCAAATTTTTCTTCTGTGAATTCTTCGTATTTTTTATATCATTATTATTATGTATCCAATTTTGAATATTTGTTGCATAATCGTCGCTGGGAGTTCCTTGTTTAGAAGTTGTCTCAACGATTGAGTTGGAAAGGGTAGTTGTTTTGCTGTGTTCGTTTGAGAAGGAACTAGCCAAACTGTTATTTAGGTAAAAATTAGGAGATAACATTCGATTATTTACCATTTCGGGACTAATAATATTAGGATTTTCTTCTTTAATTGAAACATTTTGGTTTGAGCCGGGTAAACATTTCAAGTAGTTTAACAGTGGTATACAAATATTTTTTCCGTTATTTTCAGATTTCTCAAATATTTTTGTAATACTTTTGGCTTTCTTGGTTTTCTTAAATCTATTAGATTTGTTGCTTAAGAATTGAATGTTTGAAGCTATCACTGTAGGGGGCGCATTTGCATAAGATGACATCCCATTCTTATTGAGAGATTTCCAAAGTCTGCAGGCCATGTTTGTGTATAAAAGAATAGTGACTAGTATGGGTATGGCGCACCCTACCGTGACCTGAAAATACAACAATATTTTGGACTCCAAAAGTCCCAAAGGGCACCCCGTTGCTTGGTTGCTATGATTTTCCCGAATTTGAGTGAGAAAATTTAGGGTATCCTTAGAACTGCTGGCATTTATGGAATTGGTCAAGTTCTTAATTCTGGCTGCCAGGGTAACGTTCAATCCTTCTCCTTTAATCTGGCTGTTTAGCTGATGAATGATGGTTTCTAGAGTGGAATGAACCTGTGTTAACTTGCCATCATAGGATTGTTGGATAACAATATTTTTCAGAATTTGTAGCCTGCGAGTCATTATTACGACGATAGGAACCGATACCATGCCGGAGACTATCCATATAATTATTATGATAGGCCAAACGTAAATCTGAGTAAGCCGACGGCTGAAGGGTTTCATAACAGCATAATATCTGTCCAAAGCTATCCCCATTATCGAATATCCTGTTACTAGGCCAGATATAGTATTGGTAAAGTTTAGGAATATCATTTGTCGGCAGTACGTGATTTCATTTGAGTGTTCTAAAAAATAATGAATCAGGTATGCCGGGAGCGTCACCATGCCTTATTATATAATGAATGAACAAAATAAATAAACAATATTTATATTATTTAAATATTTTATAAATTTTAATGTTAAAAATAAAATTTCTACATGGTTGTTAAAGTGACTTACATGAATATTCATAAGATCTCTAAAATTTGTTCATCCATAACAAAAAAAATATTGAAACTTAAAAATATTTTGCTTTCTACTTTTAACACTGTGATTAACTTTACATACAGTATACAAAGAAGGGCCTCTCCAAACAGTCCATTATAGATTCCTAGGCAAGGATATTCTTATAATTAAATATCTTACCATTATATATAAAGCCTATCAGAATAAACTCAGAAATTATGATATATATAAAACTTAAACATTGGTCGTTTTTTTAAATTTTACATAACCTATTTTATTATTCTCATTATATTTTCTTTAAACTTGCAGTTGCAAGCCTTGAAGATAGGTTATTTTTTTTACAGAATAAGGGCTAATATTTATATTTTTATGAGATAGGCTATTTTTTAAAAAACCTTGATTAAGGCTCAAACCAAAAACAAATTTATTTATTCAAAAGTAAAATAAATATAAACCAATAACAAAAGAGAAATAGAAACATAAACATAAACCAAAAACAAATTTCTAACTTAAATAAATTATTTAAATGAATTAAAATTTTATAATTTAATTTTTATTTCTAATAGAGTTTTTTGAGTTCTATGTTTATTCTTATTCATTATTCGGATATTTATTGTTTCTAATCCGAGGTTTTAAGTCCAAATAACATAAAAGATAGAGCGATTTAGTTAATTGGGTTAAGTGATTTTTTAAAAATTATTGTTTTAAAATATTTCGGCAATTATATTCTACTAATCTACAATGCTAGAATATTTTTATGTTTATTTTAACTTTGTATTTGTATTACTATTTGTATTTATTATATATATATATATCTTTTCGTTTTCTATATTAGTTTTTATTATATATATATGAATTTTTTCTTGAATTTTGTATTATATGATTTTAGAACCTTTTCAGTGATTCTTGGAATGCAACTAATAATTTATTCATATTATAATAATTTGGGAACCTTAAATATTTATCTAAATTTATAATCAAACGTAAGAAAAATCAGACTGTATTTAATTATTTATTAATACAATATCATACACGTTTTCAGTTTAGTTTTCACATAAACTTTGATATTTCTTGAGACATATAATATAACAAATCTATGTAATCAATAATTTTTTGCATAGTGTTCCAATTTAATATTCTAACCATTCGACCAACCATTAGAATATTTTATGTTAAAAATATCAGTCAAAATTTTAGTATAATTTTATGTTATATAATAAAGATTACAACTACAATTTTTATTTTTCCAATCATAAGATATTAAAATTTTCTCAATAATTCGTTTTAATTTAACATAATTTTAATGTAGTTTAAATGTGAGGTTTTAATCGATTAATCATGCACTTCTGCCATGATGAGGGGGGAGGGGGTATGAGCAAGATTGCCATTAAAATGAAGTGGATAAGGAGTTGTGAATGATTGCTATTAGAATAAAGTAAGGTAGGGTGTAAAGTAGTGTTGTTAAACGGCTCGTTTTGAGCCGATTTTTAAAAACGGCTAACTCAATCCAGAAAAATATTACGCAGTCCTGAAGATTTTGCTCATAGAAGGAACAAAAGTTTAGACATATATTATCGAAGTCTCGAGGCCTAGGCAATATTTTTCTGGCCAAAATATTAAGTTAGCCGTTTTGAAAAATCGGCTCAAAACGAGCCGTTTAACAACACTAGTGTAAAGTGATGATGAGGGTGGGGTAGTAAAAAAGTATTTATGTTTTTTTTTTGTTAATATATAATTATTTATTTTTACAAATTTGGATTATGGTTGGGGGAGGGGGGTTATCATTCTAAACTTTAAAAGTATCATTTTCAACTTAAAATGTATCATTTAAAAAACTAAACCCTTTAAAATATTTACATTTTACGAATATATTTTAAATACCGAAAATAAGTTGAAAATGATGCTTTACGAAATGCTTTTGCTTATATAAATTTTATCTTTTGGGCCTTTAATAGTACTAGAGCTTCATCATAGCCTGACGTTCCCTGGTCGACAGCCTTTGGCCTGGGATAGGGAATGCCTTCGGCCGGAGTTGTCTATCGGAAAGAGGTATGAGGAGGAGAAATTTGCCAGGGAGGCTTTCAGCCAGTGGGGTATTAGACGGAATGGGTTTATACATCTGCCAAAAAAAGCACGCCCAGCACATTTCATATAACGTACCAAATATTTTTATCTATAGGTTGGGCAGTATCGCGAAATTATCTTTTATTTTTCAAAAAGATCTTGTATTTAAGATGCAAATTATTTTAAAGTATATATATCTTAATCAACTTTGCATTTAAAAAGATACAGTTACGTTAAAAAAAAACGAATATTAGTACAATTAAATAGTATATTTTAGCAATTTGTTAAGCAATCACCATATTTTATTAAAATCTTCATACATCCACGTTTGAATTTTTTTTTTTATTATTGGTGAACTGATATTGAATATTGTTATTCCACTCAGCAAATATAATCTTGTCACCCTTATTTCTTGATATGTTTTTGGTAATTATGTGGTATAAGTGAATGATCCATAACTGACCCAAATAAGGTGAATAGACTGTTATAGGTGATTATAGCCAAATAAAATATGAATAGCACTAGATATCAGGAAAAAAACATTTCTTACCTTTCAGATTTTAAGTACCTAGGAACCAGGATGATGTCGTTAGTCATCACAATATTGGATACTAAGTCGAGACGATTCCGGGTTCACTATAATAATGATGATGTGGTAAATAATGAGGATCCCGAGCATCGCTTGCTTAATACAAACAAGGACTTATGGGGACTTTATTGACTCTAGAATGACAAAAATAATTGAAGATAAAAGGAAGGAAAAAATCAGACAAAGATAGTAAGCTCTTAGGATAATGGGTTTCAGGGATTGAGATATGCCTCCGGAATAGGACACGCTATACAGACATAACATTATCTTCCAAGGATATACTTACCTAACATAAGAATTACTTTTTTCCATTTCTTAAATATCTAACCAGGCATCAGGTACATTATTATTAATATTGGTTACAATTCTTAACACTATCTTGCCGGTAACGGAACTAATAGATCCTCTCTTTCTTACTCCTCTCTTCTTTATTATGCTAGCTGACCACATAGTGGTGCCGTTCACTATATTAAAACGGATATACATCATGTATAGGATCTATATACTAGTGAATATACTTGGTGCACGCTACAACTCCTGGTTAGTGATGAAATTGCACCATTAGCAATTTCTGGCGTGATAATGAATGAATGAATGAATTTTTGGTGAACTTATTGTCGTCTGCTTTAAAGAATAAATGAATAATTTATGAGAATATCATAAAGGCTAAATCTAATAAAAGTTTACAGCTTTCTTTAGAGATCCTGCCAAATTTTGAACTGTTGTTAGGTCCATTTTTATCCAGATTGCCTTACAGTAGTAAAACTGCTAAGCACCTGGTTCTCTTCGTACATGATATGTTCTTTTAATCTAAATTGAGAACTCCCAGGTCACAAAAGTCTTTCGATTTTTGCTGGAGCTAGATAACTTAAAATTATGTTAATAAAGGCTAAAGTGATTAACGCAAGTAGCTATGTAAAATCTAACAACTCTATTACTAGAATCTAAATTAATGTCGTGGTATAATAGGTGGCTATAATGCGAAAGGAGCGTTGCTACTCCAGATTTCTCCTAGTCATATTGGCGACATTGTCGACTAATGAAATTAAGTTGTTTCACAAAATATCTTCAGAAATCACGCGTAATTTATGAAGATATAATAAGGTAGTAATTATTTCCTCTGCTCTGCCACTTCTAGTTTAGCTATGTCCAAAGATATATAAATAGGAAAACCTCAAAATTATCATTTTTATGCCCACGAGGGACCCCAATACTGAGGTTACAAAGATAATCAACGCAGCTTTCCTTGACAACGTAACGGAGTTATCAATAAGGATAGCAAATATTAATTTTAATTATTATTGCATATTTTAATTATTTGCAAATCTCAATACCTGAAATTTAATGTATCATATCCAAACGTTGTATAGTATAGATCAAGATAATATCCATTGAATGTTAATTTTGTTTATCAATCAGAGACCTTCATGGGCCGGGCCGGGCCCTAATATCATATTTTCTTGCAGGTCTGGGCCGGGCCTGGGTTTAAAAAAAAATTTTTTAATGGGCTTGGGCCTAAAATTATTAAATTTAAATTTAGATTATTTAAAAAAGTTGCTAATTTAATAAAATATTGCCTTTTTTTTCTTCTAATAATAATAAATTTAAGTATTGTAAACATAATGATTACCTAAATATATTTAAATATTGTTAATTTTCATTAAATAAAAAAATGTTAAATTTTTATATATGGGCTTGGGCCGGGATTGGGAAATTTTTGTGAAACTTATTATGGGCTTGGGAGTTTTTTTTAACAATTTTTTTACTGGGGGCCTGGGTCGGGCTTGGTCAAAAAATTAAAGCCCATGAAGGTTTCTGTTATCAATATGTATCAATCCTTTAGGCAGTATATTTTACTGGCTGTTTCATAACCTTTTTAGGCAGTTTATAATCGTTTAGAAAAGTATGTCTTTAAAATATTTATCTCAAACAACAGTTTAAGTATTCTATTTTTTATATTGTATCAAGAGTGCTAGCGCACCATTCATTTGCTATATGAAGTCTTGCGGGGAACGAGAGTCCAGTTAGTAAATTTTAATAAAAGAAACACCTAAAGACAGGGACCTCTACCATGGGAGAGGGCATGATGCAAGATAGTCATCGAAATTGGAGGGGGGTAGGTAGTTATGAAGATCCTATCGTCATTTGAATAAAATCAGATGTTGCTAAATTTGATTGGGAATAGAGGTTGGTAAACTTAAAAGGGAATAGTATGCAAAATTTTAGAGA